CATTATGTTGCATTATGACCATTATGCTATGCGTTTCCCATTATGTTACTAACTGTGCTATGGTTGGAAAGACAATGCATAGCCGCTTTATATACTCCAACATCAGCCATGCATGCACAATAGTTTTGTTTCTGGGCGAGCCCTTTGTTATAGATGGAGGGTGGTCATAATGTAATAGCTCTTCGGTGTGTGTGTGTATATATATATAAAGTCCATAATCCTGACTTGTCGAGACTTCAGCGATTCCCAATTAGGGTTTTTCCGGATTATATATCATCAATTTAAATCTGGTAAGATGGCATGCAGAAATTATACAATTAAAAATATGAAACTTGTTTAAGTTGCTTCGTTTTATGTGATAATACTTTCTCTTTAATTCTATAAACAGACATAATTTCTTGTCCAGTTACAAAGTTCCACTGTTCAAGTTCAGTAATTGCTGTGTCGAGAACACCCATTAACTTGTCAATCGAAATTTTTTTGTTTTCAATAACCTCTCTGTCACTTTTTTCACTATCTGGAAGCAAGCATTTTTCTGGATACTAGAACCTTACTACAGATTTTGCTATCCATTAATTGATTGATGATTGGGGCATTGTCGTCAAAATGAAAAACTTCTGTTATATCATCTTCATTTATTACCACTTCTCCACATTTCTTTACAAAATCCAATAACTGGAAAATTTTACCTTTAGTTTGCGATGTTGGAAAACCTTCGAATTTGCGCCTATCATCTTCATCGTCCTCAACATGAAATATGGTTAAGCGCATGCATAATTAATGCCATTAAAAAGCATAGAAGGGTAAAGCATACAAAAAAAAAAGTTTGTGGCTTTGAGGTTCAGATTATAGATCATTCCGGATAATGGACGTCTGGATTACGGACTTTGTACTGTATATATACATATATTGTGATACAGAAAATTTTGTTATATATCTCTTATTTATTCTACATTATTTTTTAATTTTTATGCAGGAAACAAATGAAGAATCATTGAATAAAAAAAATTAGGTGCTCCCTCAATGGAAACACTATACCACCAGCTCTTAAACAATCAAACATAATGATGAGTGCAAACACGTGTTCATTTTTTCTGTTTTTTTTCTGTCTAGGTGAATGAAATGGTGGCATCATATATTCTTCCATTTTCTATATTTAGCTGTAATTAATAGATACACACTACATAAAATGCTAACTGGAGATAAAATAAAAAATATCCAAAGAATTATGTCTGAATTTGTTGTATTTCCTCTGAGCCATGAAGATGTCGGAAACAGTTATGTAGAAGAGACAAAGCGCTGAAGATACCCCTCCCTCCAGTTTTAAAGTAAAGTTTTCTGCCAATAGACGATATGACAACATCGAACACATGCCGGTGAAAAAATGTGCAGATTGAGGCAGGGCTGTGGGGTCGGAGTTGAGGTCATGGGGTCAGAATCGGAGTCGGACAGATTTTGGGGTAAAAGGAGTTGGAGTCGCTAAAAAACATGTCGACTCAAACTCCAGTTTTTGTTGAACAGTTTGAATTTGAAATTAAATTAAAGTGAATTGAAAAAAAAAATTAATGACAAACTGAGATAATATTTTTATTTATAGACTATATAGATTAAAAAATAGTTATTTTCTATTTTATTGACATATTAGTAAATAAATATAAGGGAGCAGAATGGACGTGATATTGCAATTATTGATTAAACTGATTTAGTTACTAATCTCATTGGTGAATTTAGGTAAGCAGCAAGAACTTCCAAAATTGATGCCATTCTTAGGAAGCGAGCAGGAAAAGGAGCAACGCAATGGAGAAGTACATATTTGATGATATAGTGGTTGTTAGGATTAAGAACTTTTCAGAAGATGTAAATAACTCTAATATTTCACTAACAGAAAGACTGTGGAATGATCTTGCAGGACTGGAAATCCTTCTTTCAACACCATATATAGCCACAAAAAAGTTACAGTCTGAAGAATTCACAGGGGACGAGAATGTTAGATGTAGATAACCCTAATGTTTCACTAACAGAAAGACAGTGGAATGATCTAGCAGAATTGGAAACTCTTCTTTCTATACCGTATATAGCCACCAAAAAACTACAATCTGAAGAATTACCAAGAGGCAAGACTGGAAGAATGTGATGTTTGTTCTTTCTGAAATGGAAGGTGTATTGCAGAAGGAATCATTTCTTCAATGAAGAAAAGAGAAACTAGTTTGCTAGACAATGAGATCTTGCTGGGTTCAATATATGTAGATCCCAAACACCAAATTTTCTTGGATGACGAACAAATTAAAAAGGCAGAGAAAGCCATCTATGAACTTTCATTAAGAATGAAATTATTCTTATAACAACTGGAGTATTCAAATCAGGACAATCAAACTGTGGATATTGCAACTGAGTCCCTATCATCTTCTTCCACTGATAAATTAGATTTTGAGAAATATTTGGATAATAGTGAAAAGGCTAAGGAAAAGCGAATGAAAATAAAGAACCAACAGAATTTAGATATAAAAATGAAAAAATACAAACAAGATTTAAACACAGCATTTCAAGAAATCGATAAATATGATTGTTCTTGCAAGACACCTCTTTCGGAACTTATAAAAATCTATCCTGAAAAGTTAAAGGAAGTAGCCGTAACAGTAACAGCTCTTCTTCCTACTTAAATCAGCATGGAAAGACTCTTCTCAGTTCTGAAGTTTATCAAATCCGATCTATGGTCTTCTAACAAAGAAGATCTTGCTGAAGTTTTATTGTTTCTTAAAAATTACTAATACCAGTTTTTCCATTTCATAATAAATGCTAATTAATATAAAGATATGCATCAATATTTTTCTGTAGCATCTATTACTTATTTTATAATAAAAAAAAATAAGCTGTACCCATGTGTATATGTTAACATATATATGAAGGAGTCGGAGTCATTAAAATTCCAGGTGTCGGAGTCCGTCATTTTCCCTACCGACTCCACAGCTCTGGATGGAGCACATACTGTAGCATGAAAGCAATGCTGCACAAAACAAGATTCATGTGAAAAGCCTACAATGTTCATTTTCTGATTTTGCCAAAAGGGTGTAACGTGCTTCGAAAAATTTCTTGATGCCAAAAAAAAAAAAAGAGAGGATCATAAATATTTTTATATACAGGACTTGTGTATGTGTGTATATATATATAAATATAAACTTAGGAGATAATATAATCAATTAATCAATACTGTTTAAGAAATAAATTATTATATATATATATATATATATATATTATATATAGGAATTGTAAATATTTATCTCATTACTTTCATAACAAATCATATCACGAAGACTTAGGGGAGGGGAGGGGGTCTAACATTGTCAAAATATTTATATATATATTTTTTTTCTTTTATATAATGTGCTATGTTATATCCTCAGTTTATCTTGCATTAAATATTTGCAGCATGACATTAGCTCATGAAATAAACATAAATGAAAATTTTCTCAACTTTAAAAGTAAGGGGCAAAAAAAAAAAAAAAAAAAAAAATTACCCTAAAAAAATAGACCATTTTATTTATTATGTGCCATGCATTAAACCTTTTTCATTTTAAATTAAACTTTTTATTTTTTAAAAAAAGATCAAATTTCTCAACTATTAGCAGTGCATTTGTTTTGCTATAAGTTACATCAGTACTTTCTGATTATCTGGACCACAGCAAAAAGCCATTAAATAAATTGGTGAAAAACATCTGTTTGGCTCGATTTACAGCTTATATATTCTATTCATAAGTAATAATAAAGTATCTTTTAAATAATAAGAAATTTTATGAGAAACAAAATCTATGGCCAATTTTACATTTTTATAACCAGTGGATATTCTTCAGCAAAATTATGGTTAACTACAAAATATATAAATCCAGAACACTCAAATGTGTGTGGTATGCAAAAGTTGGCTATTGTCACATGCTACTCAATAGCAGTTTTACTATATGTTGAAAGCAGGGATGCAAATAGTTAGATAGTACTGTTAAATTCTGTATTGTACTGTTATGTCCATATTAAGACAATACTATTCTGTATATCTTAAGACAATACTATTCTGTATATCTTAAGACAATACTATTCTGTATATCTTAATACTGATATATACATCTTAAGTTCATATATTAGCCTGGCCTCATATACAGGAAGTGTCAAAAAGATGGTGTAATGAAATACAGCTTTTTGCAGACTCATAGCTAAACTTAAGTAGACTTCAGACAGCAACACTTTTGGTCAGCAATAACTTTAAGAGAAATATACAAAACTTATGTTTCCATATAAGTATGCTGAAAAAGAAATGTTCATATTTTCCCCCACATTTGAATTACTCAAATTAAAATACTAACTAAATAAAATATCAAAATTATTGTATATAATATTAATTAACTTTCTTGGTGAATGTATACTAATGATAGTTGAGCATGTTAAATATGCAAATGTATATTAGCACAAAATACTTTCTAAATTACACAATCTTAATGCACAAGGATTTGTTTCAAACTCTAATTAATAAAAAAAATGAAAAATGTGAAATTTTGCATCTAATGGAATTACATTTTTATAGAATTATGTTCATTTCCTTGATATTCACTGAATAAAAGTTATTGTTTCATACACATTTAGCATTCCTCCTTGGGCAAATTCAGGAAATTAAAGAACCTTTCCTGAATATATTTACTGCAACAATCGAATAAGATAAAAATTATCACACAGTGAAAAAACACTTTATTTAAATCATCTCTTCAATTAGGATCATAAGTTTAATCATTTATAAAAAATGCCCTCAGCAGTTTTTATGAAATGCCATGAATAGCCATATAGGAAAATTTTGTATTAAAAAAACTCAATTTAAGTTCATTAGACAAAACATACAGTAAACTGCAGAATTACTGGATGTACACATATAATCAATAAAAAATCACATATTCTAAGACTATGCAAAAGAAGGAAAATATAAACTAAATTAAGATACCAATTATAATAGAATCACTTACAAGTTCCACTCAGCATGAAAAGCTAGAGACATCACTGGTGCAGGAGGCGTAAGTTGAACAACACACTGAACATGAAATCCTTTACCATATTTCCTTTTACCATGCTTTACAATGAGTGGCTGAGGATTACACCATAAACTGTTATCCCATTTGTCTCCAATAGTAATGTGTGTAACCTAGTTGGCATTTCCATAAAAATAAGCAAGAAGCAACAATAGTAACAGAATGCAATAGTTATCAAACTTGAATGACAATTAACTTGGAAAATTCTATCTTTGTTTGGCACTGATATTATTTTAAAAAGTACACTGCACTTTGTAAAACAGAACAGTGACTCCTCACCTTCAAATAGTTCTGCATAAGCACATCATTGAAGTTTTGAAAATACCAAGGTGTATATATTTCCAAAAGAATTTGGCAAAAAAAGTTTCAAAAATTATGTTCTAAATATAGAAGCTGGCAGGATTTTATCATTCTGAACCAGTGATATTATTATTTTCATTATTTGATGTAGTTAAAATAAAGCTTTAAAAATGATATGAATAGCTTGATAAATGAATTTTGATTATCCTGCATTTTGCAGATTGAAATTAAAAGTGACTATCAGATAATCAAATAGCTCATTCTTGGAGGGAAAAAAAAAAAAAAAAAAGACTGAAGAGGGGGAGGACATGTTTTTAATAATTTAGGCATTTTAAATCTTAAAATTAATTTGAATAAAATAAAAATCCAATAAAGCATAATACAAATTTTAAGAGACATTTAAATTGACTTACTTATGTGAAAAAAATATTTTTTTAAAATTAACTTTAGCAAAGCCATATTTACTTTATATCCTAAGTAAATAAAACTTAAATTCATTATTTTATTTTAATTAAAACAGAAATAATTTGCAAAGTTAAGCAAATTAAAAATAAGTTCTCTGTTTCATTTTGATTAATAAATGTGCTTTATATTCTTCCATTAATGAATATTTAAAAAAAAATAACTGAATAATGAAATAAAGTATGACAAATCATAAATAAATAAAATTTCTTAATTCTGAAATTACATTTCAATAAAAATATATTTGGTCTATAGGAACGAGAATTATATACAGTTTTAAAACATCTAAGCTGCAGTTCAAGCAGGGTTCATAGCCACATTTTAGTTAAAAAAATAAGCACCTATAAGCACTTTTCAAGCACATTTTAAGAAAAAAATAAGCACCTGTCTAATTACATTATACACAACTGCATAACCTTAAAAAAAAAAAATTAGACTTGTAATTTAAAATATGAGCAATGCAATATTTATTAAGAGAATGAGCATTACCTCAACAATGGGAAAACAATTAACTTTTTTTTTTTTTTTTTAATTTTATTTTAAATGACAGTTCAATTTACAGAATTAGTTTACAATGAGAGGGAAAAAAACTATGCAGAACTAAACTATATTACAAAATTTAATGATGATATTTCAGTTGAAAATATAGAAAATAAATAATAAGCCATATTAATTGTATTCGTTTGGCACCTAATAATAAATACAATTTATTTTTCCACTCATATTAATATTTAAATAATTTAACTTAAATCAAAATTCTGAACATTTTCTAAATTTTCATTGCATAACAGTTTTCCCTTAACATATATATTCCAAGCAAAGTAATTTTAAGTAAAAAAGAGGCACATTTCTGAAATCAGAAGACGTGAAATTGCTTCATGCAGTCATCCTTTAACAGTAAAAGCTTAACTAACCCGCATTCTCGGAAATTCTCGAATATTCCAGATAGTAACTGGAAAAAGAGGAGTGAGGGAGATTGTAGCCGTTCTTTAGATTTCTCGGCCAAATAAATGATTTTGACGTTCCGATATGTGCATCATATAAAAATAGACCAACGGAACTGAGAAATATTCTGCTTAGAAAGTGCAGTAAAACTCTTTTAAGTGTTCATAAACAAATCTCAGACTGAACATCAAAATTAATTATCAATGCAAAATACCGCAAATGTTATTGCGCAATACGTGCGGCATAATTCTTCCATGTGTGATATTACGCAATCGGAATCAACACCTGCCGGTATTCCGAGAATAAGGAACTAAATAAAGGGGAAAAAAAAAAGAAAGAAAGAGACTTACTAATCTGGGGTGTTTCTGATTCTAATTTTCAACAGACTGTATTAAATTTCCGGAATAGAATCAATCTTCGCGTGGGTTAGGTAGACCGCAAAAACTTTTAGTCCTATTCAATCCAGATTGGACAGTGACGACAAAAAAAAAAAAAAAAAAAAAAAGTCCGCTGCTTCAGTATTAGAGATTTTGCGGAGAAACTCCCAAACTTCGTACTGTATAATGTATTGGCAAAGAAAATGAAATTATTTTGACTATTCGATTACTTTCCTTTTATTTAAGCCATTCCGAATATTATTCCTTAGAAAGCTAATCTGTGTAAAAACACACCCATTTTTGGAAGTTTATCTATACTTCAGCAGTTACTGCAATTATATTATAATAAATATTCATACATATGCTCATAATATAAGCATAACGATCATAATAAACACGAATATAAACTGACCACGTGGAACGAGAATGCAAATTTATTAAAATCGTGATAGAAATTCAAATGTGTGTAGTATTTGGGTGGGAGGAAAAGAATACCGAAAGTATCGGAATTTTCTACGTTTTCGCAATTCTTTAGCCAATAGAACGACGTGTATCTTTCGCAATTCTTTGGCCAGTAAGAACGACGTGCACCTGTCTGTACTCTCGCGCGCACCATAGTTTACGTTAATGCAGAGGAAGGGGGGGAGGAAAGCAATTTTCGGGAGTATGATTCACCATCTGACATTGCATATAAGGAAGAAAAGTTGTTTATTTAGTTTCGGCTTTCGTACGGGGAAAAAATGCGCGTTCGTTAAAAAACAAAGGATTAAAAAAAAAAGCACTAAAAGCAAAAAATAAGCACTAAAAACAAAAAAATAAGGGCTTTAATGAAAAAGTAAGCACCTATAAGGACCTTTATATTTTATTTTCAAATATAAGGACTTATAAGCACTTGTAAGGGTCGCTACGAACCCTGTCAGGTATCTGTAGATGTTTTAATTCTACTACATTAAAAATTATATGTGTGTATGGGTGGGTGTGTGTGTATATATATATATACACAGTTCAGTCACATTAATGTTACCATCTGTCAAAAGCCAGAATAACCACCTTTCGCAGAGCGGGTCGCTGCAAGACGTGCAGGAAGACAGTCAATTAGGTTCTTGAAGATGTTCACTGGGATGTTGAGCCATGTCAACTCCAGTGTAGTGACCAGCTGTCCTAGGTTATGTGGTTGAGGATCCAGGGCACAAACAGATTGGTCCTACAGATCTTACAGATCCTACAGGTGGTCCTACAGATTCTCTATTGAGTTTACATCCAGGGAGTTTGGTGGCCAGGAGAGTACGGTAAATTCATCTGGTGCCTTTCGAACCGTGCACATACATTTACAGCTGTATGACACTTTGCATTGTTCTGCTGGTAGATGCCATCATTCTAAGGATAAACAATTTGCTTCGCATACAGGGGTGGACACGGTCCGCAAGAACAGCGTCTTTTTGCTGATCCACTGTGCCTTTTACAATGATGAGTGCACCCAGAGAATGCCATGAAAACATTCCCCAGATCATAATGCTCCCTCCTCCAGCTAGGACCCTTTAGGCAATTGTTGCAGGGTTTTTGCTATATGATGTTTCCTGCCATATACACAAACGTCCATCTGGCAGATGGAGGATAAAAACATGATTCATCGGGAAAAAGCCACCTATCGCCACTCAGCGAACGTCCAGTCACGGAGTATTGGCATGCAAAGTCTAGCCTTTGTTGCTGATGAACTGCAGTCAACATAGGTGCTTTAATCAAGTGTCTGGAGGCCCATACGCAGCAATTTTCGCTGAACCATCATTGAGGAGACACTGTTGGCAGCCCCTTAGTTCATCTGGGTGGTCAGTTGCTCAATAGTTGCATGTCTATTCATCTGAATGCATCTCCGCAGCCATCGTTCACCTCTGTCATCTATGGCCCGTGGTGCACCACATTTTCCCCATTGCTGATTTTGGATAGTGCCATTTTGCCATGCACAGTATACTTTTACCACAGCAGCATGTAAACAGTTTACAAAATTAGCCATTTTGGAAATGCTTCCACCCTTGGCCCAAAAGCCAATGATCATGCCCTTTTGAACATCAGGTAAATCACTCCGTGTCTGCATTATGCCAATGATTGCAATATTTTTTTATTCTCTCAGACACCCTTTATATACACTCCACTGCAATGTGCTGCCATCTGCCTTCTGTGATTGGTTATTTCATGTTGACATTGAAAGTAGGTGGTGGTTACATTAATGTGACTGGACTGTGTACATATATATAATTTTATAACAAAAATAAAAACAAATGAACATGATTAATCTTTTATATTTTTACAGTTGTTGGTACCTAAAACATATAAAGGTGGTCTCTTAAATTTATCAAAAGCACATGAATTTGATTTTAAATTTTTTAATTAGAAAGTATCTGATAAGCTAAGGAGAATGAATGTATTTTTGTGTGCTAGATGCTATAAGATATCTATTTCTGGCTGACCAATTCCTGATGATTTCAGCAAGAAACAGGTATTAAAACTGCATCAATGAATTTCTCATATATTAAACTGGTCTTGTTAATATTATTTTGATTTAAATTTTTACAGCAAACTGTCACTCTTAGACAAAGACTGTTGACAACTCTTTTTCACAGTATAATACCATTTTTAGTTTATAATTTGCTTATTTAATATTTTTTAAATTCAAATTTTTAAATTGCATAAATTCCTAATTTACTTTAATTATACATATACAGTACAGTCTTTAATCCGGACCTCAGAGCTACAAACTTTCTGCGCATGCATAACCGCATAATGCGTTTACGCATGTGCATATGCATAATACCTTTATGCATGCGCGTTTAATGTATAATGGACAGTATAAGCTAGGCTAAAATTAACTATTTCAGTTAATGTTGCAGATTGCATTGTTCCTTAATATTCTAATTGGATCTAGCTTATTATTTTTTGCAGACTGTTAGAGCAATTTTATAAAAAGTAAGCTTGAACTTTCGATTATGTCAAAAAGAGTTTCTGATTCCAGAGCTGCCAAAGGATTCACAAAGCGAAAGCATGTTTCGAAGTCCATCAAACAAAAAGTGGAATTGCTGCAAAAAATGGATAAAGGCATGAAGAGACAAAGAGGTTAGTGAAAACAAAAAAATTTCGATTGACAAGTTAGTCGGTATTCTCGGCACAGCAATTACAGGACTTGAACAGCGGAACTTTGTAACTGAACAAGAAATTATGTCTGTTTATAGAAGTAAACAAATAAATATTAAGCTCTTTTTTTTTTTTTTTTTTTTTTTTTTTGTAAATTTTGATACTCTTTAGATCATAATTGCTCTTTATTTCATAAAGTACAGTTTTATATTTTTAATTTTATAATTTCTGCATGCCATCTTACCAGATTTAAATTGATGATCTATAGTCCGGAATCGCCGAAGTCCCGACGAGTCCGGATTAAAGACTTTGTACTGTATATCTGTAAGTAAACAATTTAATTAATCACAATAAATTGCCTAATACTTGGCAAAAGCTGCAAAGTAATAAAACAATAATTCACAAAAGCTGCAAAGTAATAATTTATTTTCTAATAGATTATTTAGTATATTACCTATTCTGACAAAGGTAGTTAGAATTCTGCTGATAAGAAATAACTTATTAGCATATTTAAAAATTGAATCTTCAATAAATTTAAATAGAAATTTTAAAAAGTATAATTAAAAGTGAAAATGTAATCAATAAATCAAGTAATTATCATCACTGAGCGGAAATTAGTCCACTTTTCAAGAAGAACATATCAACCTCCAATCAATTAACAATAGTTAATAAATGCGAAGGTGTTTCATCTTTTTCTCAAGTAAGAATTATTATGACAAAAAAGCTTTTTAGTAAGATAAGTTTAAGCTAAATAAGTTATGTGAGGTGAGTTGAAGTAAAAGTGAAATTTTATATATATTTGTACTTGTGAGTTTTACTTTCTTACTTGTGAAAAATTCCCCGACACCTTCACCTTTAATTATATTAACTTAATGGAAACTGTACAAATAATGAAAAACATTTAAAAAAGTAAGAAAAGGTGAATAAAATTATATACACATAAGACTAAAAGGTAAAATTAAAAATGCATGGAAAGGAAATGCACATAATATGTGAATAATATACATAAATGGCTAGAAGGTGAATTAATTAACGTGTTTGCTAGCTTTTAAAGTGATACAGGTCCGTTACTTTCTTCATACTCAGAATGGACTATGGAATTCGAACCGGTATGGAGAATCAAGGAGTAGAAAGAATGCGTGAGGGTGTAGGCGGGGACTCGTTGGAATTTATTTTTAGAATGCGGGAAAGAGGTGGTCATGGAACTCTCTTTCGAGTTAAGTGCATCTGTTGAAATTTTGACTTTAAACTGACCAAACAAAAGGAATTAATTAATTTCTGACTAATTGTCATAGCGGAAAGAGGAAAATAGTACTAGTAATCTTCCCTGCTCAAGAGCTGTTAAGCAGGCTTAGGTTTGAAATAGGTCCATTTTTTAGTAACAGCAATAAAGAAAATGCCAGAAATAATGATTTTTACATTATATACAATAACTTCAGTAATTACACTATTTACAAATCTTTTAACTGATAGTCATTCACAATACATCCTTTTAAGGTTTAAGAATAAATTTTCATATCACTATCAGCCAAATGATTTAGATTGAGTACTTAACGCATGCTCTTTTAAGACAATGATTATTTTTAAGAATTTTAATAAGTGGCAGAATTTCGTGTTGTAGATTAATTGTATCTGTACAAATACTTTTAAAGTATTTATACTCTGTACAAATATTTTATATATATAGATACATATATATCACCGTTACATTTCCTTATCACCAGACTTCAAAACTCTTTTAACAGTCCTTTAAAATTAACTCAATAGAATAATATTCAAAGAAATACACTGGTTATCATAAATTAAGGACAAATCACAAAAATAACGATTCCTCCCTCAAAAATAAGCCTAACCATGTAAAATTTAAATATGTTGCCAAGTTAAGAGTAGCTGAGTAAAACTGCAATATGCAAATTAGTGGCACTGCACTCTGAATATGTCATCTGCGAGGAGAACAAAAGTCCATGTTTGAGAGCAAGCCCACATATTTCACTGTGATAGTAACACAAGAAATCTGAGATAGCCAATTCGTAACAATGACCTCCAAGCATCATTTGCCTGCAGAACTACGATGGAGAGCCATTGGGAGACTAGAGGCAGGATAAAGTCAAACAGAAGTGGCCAGATGGCTTTCTGTGGTTCATAGACTTTGGAGGCAATTTGAAACCACATATTCGGTCTCTAGGAGGTTCAGCCAAGAACAGTCAACTGCTATGACGAGCACTGATGACCGGTATTTGACATTATGTGCACGCAGGAATAAAACCGCTACTCCGATTCTTCTTAGATCCTTCCTTGCTGCAGCCACCGGAAGGTTGGTGTCAACATCAACTGTGCGTAGAAGACTTCACGAAGGTGGTCTGTAAGCGAGACGACCAGCCATTTGCATGCCGCTCACGTCACACCATAGGAGGGACCGTTTGCAGTAGGCATGACAACATGTCCACTGGACGCTTGATCAGTGGAGGGCTGTTCTCTTTACGGATGAGTTCAGGTTTAGTCTAGAAAGCGATAGTAGGCATTATTTGATATGGAGAGAACCTGGAACCCGTTATCATCCGTCAAACATGTGTTAAAGAGATGTATACGGAAGAGGCAGTGTCTGTGTTTAGTGTAGCATCTTGGACACACAGACCTCCATGTCTTTCCAACGGAAACCGTAAATGCTCCAGTTTATAGAGATGACATCCTTGATGCTTATGTGTGCCGGGATAATAGGTGATGCTTTCCTGTTACAGGACGATAATTTAAGACCACACAGGGCTTGCATTGTTGATGATTATCTTCAACAGGAAACAATTATGGGCATGGAGTGGCCAGCTCAATCCCCGGACTTGAATCCTATCGAGCACGTTTGGGATGATTTAGAGAGATGTCTAGCTGCTCTCAGTCTGCCCCCTCAGACCCTTGCCGTGCTCGCAACAGCTTTACAAGAGCAATGGCTCTCGCTTCCTATGGAACTGATAGACCGCATAATTTAAAGCATCACGCATCACTGTGTGTGCTGTATTGCTTCTAGAGGCGACCATATTCCTTATTGAAGGTACTTTTCCTATAGGAAACTGACATCTTCCATTTGTTCATTTTATACATGTGCTAATTTCTATACTACCATAATTGCCTGGTAATTTATTTTTATGTTATTTGATACATTACTATGTGTTGTGTATTGTGGGTAAGTTTCACAAAATTCTACATCTAACTTTTTCAGTAATCGTGATTTTTCCTTAATTTATGATAACCAGTGTAAATTAGAAAAAAAATATATATATATTACTATAGTCTCTTTCTCAGCATCAACATCAAGCAGCTGCAGCACAAGTATCTGACCTCCATTACCCCCAACTATGAGTGTGCGTGTAATATCATTCAGCACAAGAGTCTTAACTGCAAGCCGGGAATCATCTGACAATACATCAAAACTGCCAATCTGTAAAGAATTCATGTAATTAAATTATGCACTTATTAGATTAATATGCTATACTCTAAAAAATCAACATACAACTCAAACCAGAGTTAGCAATGCTTTCTGTTCAACACTTATGTGTTCTAACCCCAAATCCGTAAGAACAATATTAAATTATCCCCAATTTAGCAAAGAGTTTCCTTCATTGAACGACAATGTTTTATATACAATTCTATTTTCGACAAGTAAAAAAAATGTGATGATCAGAATGTGGAACCTCAACTCAATAACGCCTCTCATTATGAACAAATTGGTTCATGAAAAAATTATCTGAACTAAAAAAATCCGAGAACAGTGTCTCAAATCATGAACACCCAAGTCAGCAATAAATAATCTGCAAAGTATTTTGAGGTAACCCCAGACACAAAACTAATACTCAGGCTCTTCTAGAAACATCATTTTAATATTTTCTGTCATTCTCATTAGCAAAGTCTGGCAGCAAGTAACTTAAATATAATTAAGAATTATGCCTGATGGAAATTCTGGACAGATTGTGCTGAAGGTGGAGAGTGGAGATTTTGAGGGCTTTGTTATCTATAACATAGTATCTCTTATGCAAAACCATGGGCCAGGAAATTAAAAATTAAGATGTGACGGAGTTACTAAAGGAACCATAAAAATGAGACCATAAGGGAAGGATTGGAATATTTACAGAAGCAGCGACACTCAAGCCTAAATAAATAGTGCATGCAAACAATAAATGTTGCACCGCATACCATGTTTAAACAAAATTACGAGGCATTTAACATTACTCTGGATGTAAAAATTTTTGAAATTGTGGCACTTCACAATCTTAAATCAGGTTTTGATGGTATGTATGCACATAAGTAGATATCTGGAAATGTCTTTAGTAGACTGGTGTGAGAGCATGGCTTACTGTAATGCCATAACATACGAACAGAAATATATGTATACAGCTGTCATGTGTTGGTTCATGCTGTCTCAGTGATCACTTTTGCTATGTAGTAAACAGAGTACAATGACTAGTATAATCAATGCTCCTGATTAAAACGAGTTTCATTCCAAATTGACTGATGTGTACAGGAACAAATTCATGAATGAAAGCATAAATGATGGGAATGGTTGCATAAATTTTGTGAGGGTCAAACTGATACATGTGAAGGTAAAGAAAACAATTATCTGTTGTGATAGATCCCATTTCATGATATTGAAACTATCACATGAATTTCCTAGAACTGGAAACATAAAATTGTGATTATGAAGCTGGTTCATCATAAATTTTATTCAAGACAAATAAAATTCTCACACAAAATAAAGTCCTGTCAGCCAGATCAGCATTACAGTTTTTGAAATGCTTATACAGATTGCTGATACATTGTGACAATTATTAATGAATTAGCAGGTGACAAAATACGGGATTTGGAAATATGCAAACAAAAGAAATATCAAAGCACTGGATGCAACAAACTTGCTGAACAAATCCAGCAAGCAGAAACTAACATTCTCAAACAAAATGCTTATGGCTAAAGTCATTTCAAACAATAAAAGAGTTCTACTAACAGACTTTAAAGAGGATGCTACAATCATAACGGCTGAGACATTCTGTGAAAATCTTAAAAAAACTTTGAAGGATCATTGAGAACAAGAGACTAGACATGTTGACCTTTAATACCTTGATCATTAAAATATACAACCATATGTAGCTACAACACCATTCCAACAGTTTTAATGAGAAGTGCTCAATCATCTTTTGTAAGGCTTAGAACTCAAACTGAGTGATTACAATTTGTTGCAAGTAGTTGGGAATGCAAAAATTTGAAAGCAATGTAGGGTTAATGGACAGTGATACTTGGAATTGGTTGAATTCATTAATGACATCCTTCCTGAATGAGTAAACAACAGATGGTGTCACATATGATAAATACCTGAATTCAAGTGACTGTTTATTTTATTTGTATATTATTTGTTTTTATTTCATGCTGTCAGAGGATGATTCTCAAGTATCTCTTGCATATAAGCAAACACACAAATAATATATGTGTAAGATAAAAAATATGAAAGCAAACTTCTAATTTTGATTGGATATAACCTCTTTTATTTTACATTTAATTTGGGGACTTCATCTCTCTATCTTAAAAATAGTGAAACTGTGTCATTCAAATTAACCATGCAATCCTATGTAACACATAATGCAGATACCGCTTGCCCAATCAAATAATTGTAAACCAAAACGTTTTAACTCGGAACTGAAACTATTGTTATTAGTAAGTATAAGTTTTGTCAAAAATTTTGAATTAATGTAAGAATTTTAGAATCATTTTGCTGCCAAAATAACAATTTTGGAATTATTTTGTAAATAAGATTATTGTTTAAAAATTTCAATTTTAAGAATTTTCTAAATATTTTGAGAATGATGTGTATATGAAATATGAATGAAATAATTATTAAATGGGAGAATATTAAATATTGTTAAAATTAATATAGAAGTACCAAAGATTTAAAAAAACTGAATACTCATAATAAAATATATAGTATGAGAATTTAATTAAAAATAAAATTATTAAAATTTGTTTGGAATTGTGACAAATGCTATAATTATCAATAATTGTATGTTAAGTCTGTTGAGGGAGTACTGGTTCAGAAACAGAGGTCTGTTTTATCTCTACATAATTGTTCCTTTCAGCCTCTTCATATAATATTTTACAGGATTTTTATTTTTTCATATAACGGAGTGTGATTTATATATATATATATATATATATATATATATATATAAATGGAATGTGTAAAGCAGTTCAAAAGGCCAGTTGCCTTAAATAAGGAACGGGGGCCTTTATAAGTAATTCCAAAGCAACCCTTAACCACTCATGAAAATTTAATACATGAGTTCATTAACGTGGTTATGCTGGATATGTGTGTACTACGAAAAAGCTGTGAGGTCTTCCACTTTGTGTAAAATAAGAAAATTGTAAACTGTAATAATAAAAGTAAAAACCATAATTTCAATAATGCTATTACAAATAATAAAACATTACTTATAACTGTGAAAATTAGTCTGGTATAAAATTTCAAGATTTATGATTATTCGTAATAATTAATGGGTATATAAAATATATAATTGTGATACTGTGAGCAAAAATTTTTGGAAATCCTTCCCTGAAGTATCAAAATTGTGATGTGAATGTTCCAGAAACAAGAACTTTTTACAGATTGGACTCGAATCTTATGAGGACTTGAAAATAAAAGAACATACTGCTTAAAATTATTGAAGAATCCAAATTTTGACTTAAAATTTTTTAATTGTTCAAAAGTTAATTTCATATTTTGTATTTTCAAAATTATATTTCTCATATTTTGCTGCTCTAATGCTTTTTCGCTCAAAAAGGCTTCCCTATCACTTCTACCTTTTTCTCTTTGAAAGAGGGGAATGTGTAAGATTAAAAAATATGAAAGGAAACTTCTAATTTTAATTGACGATAACCTATTTTATTTTTTATTTAATTTGGGGACTTTATCTCTCTATCGTAAAAATAGCTCTATAAGTCTAAACGGTGTCATTCAAATTAATCATGCGATCCTACCTAACACTTAATGCAGATACCTCTTGCCCAATCAAATAATTGTAAACCAAAACTTTTTGATTGGAACTGAAACTTTTGACTCCCTCCCTTCTTCCTTTGATTTGCTACATCTTTTTTTTTTTTTTGTTTACGCTGCTGCTTACTTGCATCCTGGCAAGATGCTCCTCATCCATGCTGCTGCTTACTTGCTTGCCTAAGATGACATCGTACTTTAAAACTCGTGAATGTAAAAATTGTTGTATTTAACTATGACTGAAAAATACCTTATCTACAGATAGATGATCTGAGGCAAATCATCCTACAATAAAATGCTTCACAACGGCCACAGCTGGAAGTTTTTGGCTTATGCATTCATCCTTACAACTACGGAGTAAAGTGTCTTCGGATTCCAGAAATTAAAGTACCAGATTCCCTCGTCTATGCATTAAAACATGACATATACATTACAACAACAGTGAAGTTAGAAAGAGACACTTACAAATCACAACACAATCTTCAAAATATCAAAAAATGGCTTCTAAAAGGTTACAATGACATGATATAAAAATGCAAATTTTTATAATAACACAAAAAAGTATATATAATTTTAAATTTTAACAAACATGTATAATTTTTAGAAACAAAAAAGGGGGGACTAAATTTAGGAAACTTTTGACAAATCTATCAAAATTTCTGTCAATCTTTTTAATCATGTGTATCTGCATACACCAGTAGTTATCGAAATAATGAAGTACTAGGTAACAGTAATATGGTTTATGTGTGTGCTTGGTATTCATCTATGAAAATAAAAGTTTATGTACTTGCATACCAAGCAGATCAGAGATGGAGAGGGATATAGTTATGAAATCTGTCATGTTTCAGTACAGACAAGCAAATCTTGCATATATTCTTTTAAATTTAATTCAAAGTTTTTAGTTAATGTTAAAATGATCTTTTAGGACTTTTTTGCACATCCTTGGTTTACAATCAACCCACAATTGGATAGACCCCTCTCCCTGAGAAAATAACTTAATTTTAAATCTCTGATATAATTTGGCATACTGTAGTTTTTTAATAAAATTTTATTTTAAATTTTCAGCATTAAAATATATATCTTTCACGAAATCTTCACATTTTCACAGATTTACAAAACTGAATTATTTCTATTCTGTTGAAACAAGAATAACACAAAATTATCAGTTAAGTAATTTTCTCCCCAAACATATTATGTAACAAGTTCTCCAAATCAGAACTTCAGTCAGGAAAAGTTTAGTTCTTCTCTCCTATCATGTTAATTCCAAGAAAATGCTACAACAATGCCTATGACCTGATATACTGTACCTTCTACATGAAGTGATTTGAAGAGTTTTTTCTTTGATTATTGATATTTTGAAAAAGCAATTCTTTAGACATTTTCAGCATTTTATGAGCCTCTTAAAATAC